AATTATTTTTTATTTCACGCATCTGTAACGTAATATAATCGAATCTATAGAGGTTTACAAAACAATGACAGCAAATACATAATAAGAGATAATACAATAATACCCACAAATATTGATAACGAAAGTAGTAAAAGAAATAATACTAAAATTTTTATTATTATTCTTATTATATTATAATGATGTCAACCACAACAAAAATAACACTAAAAATAAAAAAATTCATCTTATCGAATTTTAGATAAGCTTGTAAAATGAAATTCATTAAAAAATTTTTAAAAATGCGGGGAGGCTACAAAAATTCAAAAAAATTTCATCTTAACATGCTTACATGAAAAAATTTGCATAAAATATTAATATCAAAAATAACATAAACAATATTAATTATTATATATTCAATAGAGTTACTTTTTCTTAAAACACGTATTATCATAGAATTAATCTGGTACTTGCAGAGTCAGCTCATAGGCTCAAACCAACACATACCATTTTGTACTTGCAAAAAAATTGTTGAAATTAAATTTTATACATTTAGCGTGTTATACGGTCAAACTTCTACGTTTAGATTGACAATAACGCATAAAATGAGTGTGTCAATACCTAAAATGTATAAGACATCGGAACATCAGTCGTCGCATGACTGATCGCCAATTCACGCAAGCGCTGGCTTACTCGCTTGGAAGCTATTGAAATAGGTACTGCAAACGAAATGACTTTAACAATTGTCACAATACTTTCTCATGATAGAGCAAAACGAACACAGACGAAGAGAGTCTTAGCGGTGACAACTGACAACTGTTGCATGCAAGACCGTACTAGTGCAAAATCGTACGCTCTCGTTCGCGCACATGCAGATACATTACCCTATTACACGCTTAATATTCTTTAACGTACAGATTGCAAACGTAAAGCTTTGATTACATAAAATAAAATTAGTTCACTCAACAACTTATAAAAATAGTGAGTTAGTATATTAGAGAAGAGGGAGACTGCATTGACAAATTTTATCAATAACTTATTTCCATCAGACGTGTATATTTCGTTTTCTTTTAACATGAGACCTTGCCATAATAAATATTATTATTAAAAAAAATGGGATATTTTGATAAATAGCAAAAATGACTTTTTTTGTAGGAGAATAAAAAATATACATNTGTTGCCGTCGCCATCATCACCGGGAAGATAAAGGATAGAGAGCGAAAGAAGCACGGCTGAGATACCGGAAACTGCAAAAATGGCGTTCACCGAGGAGATCCCTTTTCCCATTCCCACAACCCGTATGTGCTTGACTCCAAAATACCATGTTCCCAAAGTAATTTCTACCCCTGCAACATGTGAGCGCGTTCGCGTATGTGTGTGTAGTGCCCACCGTATGGCTGCTCCTTTTTTGTCTCCGCCTTATTCACTTTAATTTATCGTTCGATTGTTCTCAGAATCTGAGCAACATCCCAGTGTTCAAAACAATTGACAATTTAGCTCTTGTTTATTGACAGCATGGCGACGTTGCGAAAATATTTCCGGCACCCGCATGCGGTCCGCTGATTCTCGTTCAACATGTATTGTTCGCCAGCTCGTTTTGAGTACGAATTTTCCACAGACTATAGGATAACTCGAACTATCAATTACGTTATTTCTCATTGACTTTGTTCGCCGAACGTTGGCAGTAAGAAAATCCGTGACAGATGTTCTGCTAGACAGTCAGTACTTGCGGGCAAGGGAAACAAGTCACATTCGAAGTATTTTTTATTTTTTAAGTACGAGACCGGATAGCTTGTAGCGTCAGCTCTTCCCAAGAGGAGGCGGAGGATTCTCTCTTCCTCTCTCCCGTCTTTCTTTCGCTCTCTCATGGCTCTTGGCAACGCAGCAGCAGCTGCCTGTTCTCGCGCAACGTACAAAATGGCTGCCGTTTCGAGAACGTTCAGCACCGAGGGGCTCGCCACGTGGATTTCGTACGGATTTGCAAACCGGTCACTTTTTTGCGCCAGATTTCGTTGAATAAGTCACAAACCGATGCGCATATGTTTTGTATTAGATCGGCACTAGATTAGGTCGTTGATACTCGCGTGGGCAATTAGCGGCTTATCATGTGTAATTTTCATAATCACCCGGGTGACCATAATTATTTGTTTATTTTGCGTTGGCACTACTTGATCACTATGCCACCGTTGTATCTTTAAACAACGTGGTCTGCTATTACCTAACCTGAATTTCATTATTACTTATGCACTGTGATGATAAAAATACCCCATCATTCGCGGTTTCCACCGGAGGACTATGTCCGTTGACGGCTGATGCGTCTGAGTGCAAGTTAAACGGTTCATTTAAGTCAATTAAGTGCCAACTCAACAATAAACAACTCGTACATAACAGCTCTTTACACAATGTGTTACATTAACCCATATTGTTTTATCACTTTCAGATTTGACCAGACTTTTATAAACAATCAATCAAAATGGGTAAGGAGAAGGTTCATATTAACATCGTCGTCATTGGACACGTAGATTCCGGAAAGTCGACCACCACTGGTCACTTGATCTACAAATGCGGTGGTATCGACAAGCGTACCATCGAGAAGTTCGAGAAAGAAGCCCAGGAGGTAAGCCTTGGATTTCAACCTTTCAATATGCTTCCAACAATAGTTTCAAGTGGATATCATTTGCAAGAGTCCACAAGAAACTTGTTGTATCTTACCTCAACTAGATATTTAATTAATGATGATACAGCTTACCATTCATTCGCGGTTTTCACCGGAAGACTTTTGTCTAGTGACGGCTACATACGTCTGAATCTAACATACAAAGTAATCCCTGTTAATTTTATACAAGAAGAATCTACAATTTCAAATTTTCTATTTACAGATGGGTAAGGGATCCTTCAAATATGCATGGGTCTTGGACAAACTGAAGGCTGAACGTGAGCGTGGTATCACTATTGACATCGCTCTGTGGAAGTTTGAAACCTCGAAATACTACGTCACCATCATCGACGCCCCTGGTCACAGAGATTTCATTAAGAACATGATTACGGGAACGTCACAGGCTGATTGTGCCGTGTTGATTGTCGCTGCTGGTACTGGTGAGTTCGAGGCCGGTATCTCGAAAAATGGCCAGACCCGTGAGCACGCTCTGCTTGCCTTCACTCTTGGTGTCAAGCAGCTCGTCGTTGGTGTCAACAAGATGGACTCTACTGAGCCGCCATACAGCGAAGCCCGTTTCGAGGAAATTAAAAAAGAAGTCTCTTCGTACATTAAGAAGATCGGTTACAATCCAGCAGCTGTTGCTTTCGTACCCATCTCTGGATGGCACGGAGACAACATGTTGGAGCCATCCAACAAAATGCCCTGGTTCAAGGGATGGGCGGTTGAGCGAAAGGAAGGCAAAGCTGATGGTAAATGCCTTATTGAAGCCCTTGATGCCATTCTCCCACCCTCCAGGCCAACCGACAAGGCCCTTCGTCTTCCCCTGCAGGTAAATACCTTTAATTATCATTTCTATTATAATAAGTAAATATGTTGTATTTCTATTTAAATGATGTAAAATCTACCACTTCATTCGCGGTTTCCACCGGAGGACGCTGTCCAATGACGGTCGAAGATGTCTGATAACTAATAAACTTACTTTCAAAATTATTGGTGCATCTATATAAAATTACATTAATTCTTTGATTGTACATTTCAGGACGTGTACAAGATTGGAGGTATTGGAACGGTACCCGTCGGTCGTGTCGAGACTGGTGTCTTGAAACCTGGTATGGTTGTCACCTTCGCCCCAGCTGGTCTTACCACTGAAGTCAAGTCCGTTGAAATGCATCATGAAGCCCTCACGGAAGCCGTACCCGGAGATAACGTTGGTTTCAACGTTAAAAACGTTTCTGTCAAGGACTTACGTCGTGGTTATGTCGCTGGTGACTCAAAGAACAATCCACCCAAGGGTGCAGCTGATTTCACTGCTCAGGTAAAATATTTATTTTTTTCCACGGTTTATTAGTTAATTTTTGCACTATGATGATAAACTCGATTCATCATTCGCGGTTTCCACCAGAGGACTTGTTTCTGTGATGGTTGATGTGTCTGAGTGCCTTAATAAAATCTTTAAATTCTAACTAAAAATTTAATTGGATTTGAAAACAGTTATATGTTAACTGAAACTTCTCCATTTCAGGTCATCGTATTGAACCACCCTGGTCAAATCAGCAACGGTTACACGCCTGTGCTTGATTGTCACACAGCCCACATTGCCTGCAAATTCTTTGAGATCAAAGAGAAATGCGACCGTCGTACTGGCAAGGCCACAGAGGAAAACCCCAAGGCTATCAAATCGGGTGATGCTGCCATCGTCAACCTGGTCCCAACCAAGCCTATGTGCGTAGAGTCCTTCCATGAGTTCCCACCCCTTGGGCGTTTCGCTGTTCGTGACATGCGTCAAACAGTCGCCGTTGGTGTCATCAAGTCCGTCAATTTCAAGGACGTCACTGGAAAGGTCACCAAGGCCGCTGAAAAGGCCCAGAAAAAGAAGTAGTCTTAGTTTCCGCGCACACGAGCCTACGGCCGCAGATGCCCGGCTCTTTCAACCTTCAGCGGCGGCGCAGCCAGCTATCGCAGCAGCTATATTACTCCTATTACCACCCACGTTACCGCCACCGCTGCGCCGCGCCTTTCCTTCCAGCAATATCAGCAACAGCTATCCGGCTGTGGCTGAAAGGCTCGTCCATCTACCCAGGCGGCTCCGACGGCACTTCTTTCATCGCAAAGAGTTCCGCAGGAAAGGAAGTTCGCCTGCCTCGCGTATGAAACTCGACTATTAACCTGGAAGGCTGGGAGCGACGGAGAAGGCGACGTTATAGGACATGCGCTGTTGTCCAGCTGAGCGCCGCCACTGCAACTATTTGATCATTTGTGTACCAGTTTCACAAAGCAACAACAACAACATAACAACATCGTGGAAGAAGACCAATAACTTAATTTAGCCGATCTTTATATTTTCTAATTATTATACGAAAATAATAAAAATCCTATATCTGCGATATTCGAAAAACACCTCAATGTTTTTTTTAAATTATTGTTCATTGTTATTTTTTATCTGATTTATTCTTCCTTATCTCGCAATTACTCTTTCCTGATTCAAAGTTCGTTAGGGTATTCGGAGAGATAAAAAAATTTAATTACAACTGTATTTAAATAGATACATGAGACATTTAAGATATTCAATATTTATTTGCTATGAATACATAAGAACAATAAAAACAGTATAATTTACGTCCATACATTCTGCTTGCTCTATGTGTAACGAATATATTTGACGTGGCAAAACTAAGTATATATGGATCATTTAAAAGACATATTTAGTTCGTAATATTTAAAAAATGCTGATTACCATCTTTAACTGTGGAGTTATGAATTTTATGCTTAAACAAACAAATTTTTAACACTTTCATGATAATTCTTTTTTTTTTTCATTTTGTTTGTAGTTTCAATGGATATTGCTTACTTTTTCACACTACTATTACCAGTAATAAAAATAAATAGATTTAATTATTTTACATTCATAAAATGCTTTTTTTATTTTTCAACTAAACAACAATGCAAAATTTAGATGTTTATTAGTATCAGAATAATAATAATAATAATCGTATAGTAATAATAATAATTATTATTACTAAGTTATAAAAACTTATATATTTAATTCCTTATTTATTAACTCATTATTAACTGATACATTAAAACTATAAAGCCCTTGGCACAGAACGTAAGTTAAAAATCATAGTCAAAACAAAGAAAAATATAAGAAAAAAAAAAACAAGAATAAACTTACTGAAAAAAATTTCGTGTAAGTACATCCAAAAAAAAAGTTTCTCGGTCATAAATTTAGCACACTTTTATGCAATATACATTATAATAGAGCGCGTAGACATTCAAAATCCTTAAAAATAAAGTTATTTTCAAGAGAATAAATATGACGATTGGAAAGGAGAGGTAGAGAAGGGAAAGGAATACAGTAAGTACCGTTAAGTAGTGCTTTCTCAACAGTATTCTGCATTTCGATTGAAGCAAAAGATCGAGCACGTGGTCGGGCTCTCGAGCCTTTCACTTCAATTTCGTGCATCTATATAATAGATAGTAAAAATATGCGGGCAAGTACGATGAAAAAAGCCATTGAACTATATACTCTTATATTTAGCATTACGTTAAAAATTCAATAAATGATGATTCACTATTGATTCACGCACGTGGTACGTGCAGAACCACGCGGATGTTTAATGGGCAGACATTCTTTTCGTCGGTTTTTTCGGACTTCTAAGATTTCCTTGATGTTTGATGATAAGTTATCGAAATGTTCTTTAAAAATCCATAAAGTGGTGAAATAATGTGTACATACTTGTCAAAGTGCCGATGAATAACCAAATTCAATATTTTTTCCTAACGATTCTCAAAACGCTTGTTTTAACCTACAGCTAAGATTTTCCACATCTTACAAAATTCAACAATCAAAAATTAGTCCATAGTCTAAACGCCTCCCCATCTATTTGTTTCGTTTTTTCACTGCATCAAAATTTATCAGTTATTTTTAAATAATTTGAATCCAAATATCAGTTTTTTTTCTACGTATTTTCTACGTTAAGTGTAAGTTGTAGTAGGCTTTTATTTTTGAAAAAAACGGGTTTTATTTTATTTTTATGAAACAATTGTATAGCATATAGATGCCTGTCTTGGACTGAATGCTGAACTTATTAGTCAAACCAGGTGCTTGCAACTATAACTGGTGGTCTTGCTACTATAATTGGATAAAATGTTGTATTAATTCAACTCATGAAAATTTATATTTACACCTTAGGGTGTTTTTATTACTTACATATTTTAATTCGTAAAATGACTATAAACAAAAAACTTTCGCTGCACTGCTTGAAAATAAGTAATCATTACACGATGTATAACCTCGCCAAAGTAATAAAAAGTTATGCACGATAAAGTATTGCGCGTTTTTTTTTTTTTTTTTATAGAAGAACAATCAATATTACTTGTAGAGTTCCCTCTGAACAAGTCCAAACTAAAAGTTTTATTTCAATACCACTAAACTCAAGCTCAATCAGAACACATTTTCACAAGTCAGAGTGCAATTAAATTTACTATACGTGCGTACAATGGGACCGAACTGGGACTATTGTGTTTGTACGTCACAGGTACCGAGTTATGTTATTGATAAAAATGTAAAAAGTCTCACAATGTAAACCATGAAAAACATATGTTACATGTACCTGCAAATGTGTAAGCAAAGCAATCTGTCTCTGCGTTCCGACAAACGGGATTTTTCGAAAGTGCGGCCGTAAGCGCGCGCAAAAGAGTATGCGTCCCCTCCGCCAGTCGCGTTCGTCCGTGCGCACATTCACTTGGCTTCAGCTCGTTGAGTCTCTTTCTGTCGTAGCATCTGGAGGTGAGTGGTCGTGTGTGCGCGTCTCTCTGGTCCTACATACATATACCTATACCGCTGTCTGCCCGTCGCTCGTTGTTCATTGTACGAATAGTGTGTGCCGAGGCTACAAGTAAAAACTCCCGGCGAAGCCATCGAGGTAATCCGCGAGCCCTGGACCCGTATTCCTGCCATCCGGATCTGTAGATAGTGCCTTGAGTCGCGGGCCTCCGCTAGGCTAGTGCTTGCGAACATATTTTTCCGTATTTTCGGGAGTTTGATATTGTGCCGACGTCGAGAATATGGGAGAACCCGGGCGGCGCGTGGCCACCGCACGCTTGGTTACACTCTCTCGCTAGGGCGTTTTCTTAAGTTCTTCGAAGTACCTTTACCTGGACAGTGTCGCACGGTTTCCAGGAGATAATCCAACGTCCTCATCTTTTTACCGGTTGACTCCTTTTTTTTTTAACATGGGCGTGTGGCCGCCGTTGGCAAGATCCCCGTGTCTATATAAAATTGTAAAAGGAACGGTAGTGCATTACGTGTGTCGGCGAAGCGTACGAGCTATGATTTATTCTTCCTTATCTCGCAATTACTCTTTCCTGATTCAAAGTTCGTTAGGTTATTCGGAGAGTGCAAGTGTTGCCGTCGCCATCATCACCGGGAAGATAAAGGATAGAGAGCGAAAGAAGCACGGCTGAGATACCGGAAACTGCAAAAATGGCGTTCACCGAGGAGATCCCTTTTCCCATTCCCACAACCCGTATGTGCTTGACTCCAAAATACCATGTTCCCAAAGTAATTTCTACCCCTGCAACATGTGAGCGCGTTCGCGTATGTGTGTGTAGTGCCCACCGTATGGCTGCTCCTTTTTTGTCTCCGCCTTATTCACTTTAATTTATCGTTCGATTGTTCTCAGAATCTGAGCAACATCCCAGTGTTCAAAACAATTGACAATTTAGCTCTTGTTTATTGACAGCATGGCGACGTTGCGAAAATATTTCCGGCACCCGCATGCGGTCCGCTGATTCTCGTTCAACATGTATTGTTCGCCAGCTCGTTTTGAGTACGAATTTTCCACAGACTATAGGATAACTCGAACTATCAATTACGTTATTTCTCATTGACTTTGTTCGCCGAACGTTGGCAGTAAGAAAATCCGTGACAGATGTTCTGCTAGACAGTCAGTACTTGCGGGCAAGGGAAACAAGTCACATTCGAAGTATTTTTTATTTTTTAAGTACGAGACCGGATAGCTTGTAGCGTCAGCTCTTCCCAAGAGGAGGCGGAGGATTCTCTCTTCCTCTCTCCCGTCTTTCTTTCGCTCTCTCATGGCTCTTGGCAACGCAGCAGCAGCTGCCTGTTCTCGCGCAACGTACAAAATGGCTGCCGTTTCGAGAACGTTCAGCACCGAGGGGCTCGCCACGTGGATTTCGTACGGATTTGCAAACCGGTCACTTTTTTGCGCCAGATTTCGTTGAATAAGTCACAAACCGATGCGCATATGTTTTGTATTAGATCGGCACTAGATTAGGTCGTTGATACTCGCGTGGGCAATTAGCGGCTTATCATGTGTAATTTTCATAATCACCCGGGTGACCATAATTATTTGTTTATTTTGCGTTGGCACTACTTGATCACTATGCCACCGTTGTATCTTTAAACAACGTGGTCTGCTATTACCTAACCTGAATTTCATTATTACTTATGCACTGTGATGATAAAAATACCCCATCATTCGCGGTTTCCACCGGAGGACTATGTCCGTTGACGGCTGATGCGTCTGAGTGCAAGTTAAACGGTTCATTTAAGTCAATTAAGTGCCAACTCAACAATAAACAACTCGTACATAACAGCTCTTTACACAATGTGTTACATTAACCCATATTGTTTTATCACTTTCAGATTTGACCAGACTTTTATAAACAATCAATCAAAATGGGTAAGGAGAAGGTTCATATTAACATCGTCGTCATTGGACACGTAGATTCCGGAAAGTCGACCACCACTGGTCACTTGATCTACAAATGCGGTGGTATCGACAAGCGTACCATCGAGAAGTTCGAGAAAGAAGCCCAGGAGGTAAGCCTTGGATTTCAACCTTTCAATATGCTTCCAACAATAGTTTCAAGTGGATATCATTTGCAAGAGTCCACAAGAAACTTGTTGTATCTTACCTCAACTAGATATTTAATTAATGATGATACAGCTTACCATTCATTCGCGGTTTTCACCGGAAGACTTTTGTCTAGTGACGGCTACATACGTCTGAATCTAACATACAAAGTAATCCCTGTTAATTTTATACAAGAAGAATCTACAATTTCAAATTTTCTATTTACAGATGGGTAAGGGATCCTTCAAATATGCATGGGTCTTGGACAAACTGAAGGCTGAACGTGAGCGTGGTATCACTATTGACATCGCTCTGTGGAAGTTTGAAACCTCGAAATACTACGTCACCATCATCGACGCCCCTGGTCACAGAGATTTCATTAAGAACATGATTACGGGAACGTCACAGGCTGATTGTGCCGTGTTGATTGTCGCTGCTGGTACTGGTGAGTTCGAGGCCGGTATCTCGAAAAATGGCCAGACCCGTGAGCACGCTCTGCTTGCCTTCACTCTTGGTGTCAAGCAGCTCGTCGTTGGTGTCAACAAGATGGACTCTACTGAGCCGCCATACAGCGAAGCCCGTTTCGAGGAAATTAAAAAAGAAGTCTCTTCGTACATTAAGAAGATCGGTTACAATCCAGCAGCTGTTGCTTTCGTACCCATCTCTGGATGGCACGGAGACAACATGTTGGAGCCATCCAACAAAATGCCCTGGTTCAAGGGATGGGCGGTTGAGCGAAAGGAAGGCAAAGCTGATGGTAAATGCCTTATTGAAGCCCTTGATGCCATTCTCCCACCCTCCAGGCCAACCGACAAGGCCCTTCGTCTTCCCCTGCAGGTAAATACCTTTAATTATCATTTCTATTATAATAAGTAAATATGTTGTATTTCTATTTAAATGATGTAAAATCTACCACTTCATTCGCGGTTTCCACCGGAGGACGCTGTCCAATGACGGTCGAAGATGTCTGATAACTAATAAACTTACTTTCAAAATTATTGGTGCATCTATATAAAATTACATTAATTCTTTGATTGTACATTTCAGGACGTGTACAAGATTGGAGGTATTGGAACGGTACCCGTCGGTCGTGTCGAGACTGGTGTCTTGAAACCTGGTATGGTTGTCACCTTCGCCCCAGCTGGTCTTACCACTGAAGTCAAGTCCGTTGAAATGCATCATGAAGCCCTCACGGAAGCCGTACCCGGAGATAACGTTGGTTTCAACGTTAAAAACGTTTCTGTCAAGGACTTACGTCGTGGTTATGTCGCTGGTGACTCAAAGAACAATCCACCCAAGGGTGCAGCTGATTTCACTGCTCAGGTAAAATATTTATTTTTTTCCACGGTTTATTAGTTAATTTTTGCACTATGATGATAAACTCGATTCATCATTCGCGGTTTCCACCAGAGGACTTGTTTCTGTGATGGTTGATGTGTCTGAGTGCCTTAATAAAATCTTTAAATTCTAACTAAAAATTTAATTGGATTTGAAAACAGTTATATGTTAACTGAAACTTCTCCATTTCAGGTCATCGTATTGAACCACCCTGGTCAAATCAGCAACGGTTACACGCCTGTGCTTGATTGTCACACAGCCCACATTGCCTGCAAATTCTTTGAGATCAAAGAGAAATGCGACCGTCGTACTGGCAAGGCCACAGAGGAAAACCCCAAGGCTATCAAATCGGGTGATGCTGCCATCGTCAACCTGGTCCCAACCAAGCCTATGTGCGTAGAGTCCTTCCATGAGTTCCCACCCCTTGGGCGTTTCGCTGTTCGTGACATGCGTCAAACAGTCGCCGTTGGTGTCATCAAGTCCGTCAATTTCAAGGACGTCACTGGAAAGGTCACCAAGGCCGCTGAAAAGGCCCAGAAAAAGAAGTAGTCTTAGTTTCCGCGCACACGAGCCTACGGCCGCAGATGCCCGGCTCTTTCAACCTTCAGCGGCGGCGCAGCCAGCTATCGCAGCAGCTATATTACTCCTATTACCACCCACGTTACCGCCACCGCTGCGCCGCGCCTTTCCTTCCAGCAATATCAGCAACAGCTATCCGGCTGTGGCTGAAAGGCTCGTCCATCTACCCAGGCGGCTCCGACGGCACTTCTTTCATCGCAAAGAGTTCCGCAGGAAAGGAAGTTCGCCTGCCTCGCGTATGAAACTCGACTATTAACCTGGAAGGCTGGGAGCGACGGAGAAGGCGACGTTATAGGACATGCGCTGTTGTCCAGCTGAGCGCCGCCACTGCAACTATTTGATCATTTGTGTACCAGTTTCACAAAGCAACAACAACAACATAACAACATCGTGGAAGAAGACCAATAACTTAATTTAGCCGATCTTTATATTTTCTAATTATTATACGAAAATAATAAAAATCCTATATCTGCGATATTCGAAAAACACCTCAATGTTTTTTTTAAATTATTGTTCATTGTTATTTTTTATCAATTGCTTCAAACGCATCTTTAAAATACAACACAATCTACATTTATACATTTTTTTTTTTTAAGCCAGGTGCTTCTAACTTTCATTTCCCGATCGTTACAAAGATAATTATCAATGCAAATTTAACTGCAACTGTTCTAATAATTAAAATAACGCTCGTTACAATTCTTTTTGTGACTAATTTTTTGATACGTGGAGAGAGTATGACTGGAGCAAAAAATCCTATGAAACTAGTTTTTTTTACTATGAATGAATTATAACAGTCGCTTTTTTTAAACAAATACCGCAGCAGATGGAATCTTCCAACTCTTGAGTCTGATGAATTATAATATTGTCTAATCGCATGCTTTTTAATAAAGTCAAAATGTAATTTTTGATCAAGTACGTAGTATTTAATTTGTGTCCGTTGTATCTGCATATAGTATGCAGTTGATATGCGATATGAGCGCAAAATAAAGAAGCTGTAGAAATAACCGTGTCTTTAATTATCTCATTACAGTTTCTCTCGTGCGAGACCGTTCCTTGATAATTTATTTTAAATCCATCTGGACAACCTACAAACTGCGCTAATATCGACTCATTACAAATTGTTAATTGTGACGCCCCTTCGAAGTAGATGTATACTTATACACACATAGAAGTGCAATTATCGATACATTTTATCGCCAATCGCTTGATGAAGTTGAGATTTGAGATTCTCAACTTGAGAATTCTGATCGTCAGTGATGACGATTCGTCACCGGCTCACTCTTCTCCCTCTTTTAGCACGCACATATATACATATATATTTACATACACGATGTTTATGTGGTCTGCTAATATAGCAGACCGATCGACGTTTGTAAACATGGCTGGGAACATCGCAAATTCAGCATCGCCTGTCTTATCTAAGATAATCAGTGCTGGTCCTTCGTTTACATCCTTTGGAGTAAGTGTAATATTTTACTCAACATATGATGATGTCTTTATAAATATCTAATCCTAGAGCTATAATCGCATTCAATACATTATTTTTGAGGTTAGAATTTTTTATTGTCAAAAAAATTAATATCGATGAAAACATTGCATGGATGTGTAGGGTATATATCATAAGCCTTTTTTATTTTGAATCGTTTGGGGCTTAAAGACATTGATGATTTATACAGGTATCCTTTAAATTTATCATTAAATATTTTTAGTTTCAACAAGTGCGAAATAAATGGACAAAATTTAAAACTATGCGAGATATGAAGAGAAGGCAGTTGACCAAAGAATCTGCTCCGGACAGGCTACGACTTCTTGGTTTGAAGAGAAACAATATTCTTCCACTCGAAATAAGAGTAAGTTGTGTACTATGTGTTATAGCAAGCCACTAAAGTCATTTGAAGGTGATGGTTTAAATTCAAAAAAATTTTTTATAGGATTTAGCTAGCCAAACTTTTGTAGAAACAATACCAAAGTGCTCTTCAAAGATCGGAGTCACACGTCGCTGTGTTGTCACTTCAAGAGGATATGGTACGGTTTATAGGTGGAGAATATCCAGATTTGTTTTTCGTCATTTAGCTGATCACAACCTATTGTCAGGTGTGCAAAGAGCCATGTGGTGAAAACTTAGTATTTTAAGAAAAATTTTTAGAAAGAATCGATGAATTTGGTAAATATTTTGTTGATGAAATGAGTCATAAAATAAATTCTCTTCTACGTTAAGAATATTGCATTTTTCTGCTTTTGTTAAACATAATTCGGTGTCTTGTAAAAAAAGCAATAACTGCAAATATGATGTAATTTATTGTGTAGAACTAGTTAAGTTTCATACAGAGAGAAATTTCTTTTAGATAACTTTGTTGTAAGTATCTAATAAGTTTTTTAATCGGTAAAATAAAAATACATAGTATCTCAGAAAATTAAACAAGTAATTACAAGACCTACTGCACTTTTGTTTTTAGTTTTGAGAAATTATTAATTTGGGGATTCAGGGAATCTTATACAATTCATCACTTTCATCATATACATATAGCAATGAATATAGACCTTGAAATTTAAACCTCAGTTAAATCTGTCATGGTCTCTTACACACTTTACATTCAGATCTTTGGTTTCAACTATTATCAGCTAGTATATGCATCCTTCATTACGTAAAAATGATTTACAGTTGTTGAATTTTCAAAAAAAAAAATTTCAATCCATGGGATCAAAATGATTTTTACAAGTAAATACTTTATGCGCTATTCATATTTTATTCTCAAATGCTCTTACTACTTTCGTAAATAGTGCAATTTTGAAATAAATAAAAAATTACCAATTTCTATTTTTTCTATATGCATTGTACAATTCATTGTAAAAGATGATGGGGACTCTTTTCGCTAGTAAAAATTCCAAAGAAACCTCAAACTTTTTTTGAATTAGTCAGCCAGAAAACTACCCCTAAGCTTGGAAATGAGTTTTCCTAATGTGATTTTTTAATTCTTTCTGACCTTACCCTGCAGGTACGTATGTAACAAAATGCAACATTACTCGTAGGTAGTCGATTTTCAAAGCCTGTATTTTATTGAGCTAGATCTTGCTGCATGTAAATACACAGGCAGGCCTCAATCGTGCTATATTTATTATACATATTTCATGAGTGTAAACGACGGGGCTGTGCTCTCGCTGCTGTTGTTATTACAAAATCGTATGTAAAACTAGGAGGCGAGAGTTTTTTTTTTCACAATCCGTTTACGTGTGTCGATTGGAGTGATCTTTCATTGCACAAAATACGGACGGAGTTAGAAAAATTACGCAGTTAAAGAAGATAATAAAGCGCATATAGTTATGCGGCTGTTTTTTTTTTTTTTTTTTTTTTTTTAATTCTTTTTGTTGCGTTTGCAATTAGTAACTAATATTTCATTCACCTAATCTTTTTCGGAAAAATTTTTCACAGAGAATTACTTTAATCCAGTTGAAGTTTTTAACGCACTGTATTGTAAATAAAAATTAAAACTCTATTCTGAAGAACAAAAAGAGACGATAATTTCCATGGAACTAAAGTTTTTGGACGCCGAAAAGCCGGAGCCTGACATTCAAGTAAAGTAAATTTTATCATTAAAGAAATCGTTCAACAGTTTTTTGCACCGTACTGTCTAAATTATATTAATCTAGTAATCAATGACAATTTACTAGAACAATATGGGAAAAAAATTTTATAACAATTTACAATCATAATTTAAATTAAAATAACAATGGTTGCATTATCGCTGTTACTGTTGTTTCAGATTAATATTTAAATGATTCCTACGATTACGTGAGCATGAAAAAAGTACTTATCTGGGAACCTTTTGTATATATATGTTGCATTATTTATAATAATAACGGATGATATCATTCTAAGGTAGATGTCCCAGTACTCGCTCACTTAAGCAGACGAAATGTCCCAATAGTCGGTCACTTTTTTTCTTTTATAGTACTTCGTTATATTTTCAATTGGGTTTATACATTAACTTGTATTGAAAGAGTAATTTCTTAGTTTCTGAATAGCTACCCGATTGATATATGTTTTGAAAATTTATAGTCAAAATGACCGACTACTGGGACATCGACCTTAGATAAAAATTTTTGTACACACTTCAACAAGAGCTAGAAAATTTTAAGTTTAGAACTACGTAAATACATGATTCTGAAAAAAAAAGAAAAAATTATGAATAACTTGCCTGGCGTTCGAGTTTTACCGGTATTTTCAGATAAGAATTCATGATTTTATACCAAAAAAGAAAATTTTGTACACCTAAATCCCAAAAACACCGCTTTCACAATATCCAGGTATAAAATAATTGCGCATTTTTTATTTGCAATAAAATTTTCTTCCACACACCAAACATTTCTTTGGAATATATCTAGAGTTGAGTTTATTTTCTAAAATGTTTCAAAAATTTCTACATCTCGTCAGTGGTTTCATAATTTTAATTTTACATAAAAAAATTTTTTTTTAAATTACTTAAAAATTCGGTTATTTTGAAAACTTAAAAAAAAAAAATGAAACAAATAGACCAAAATTATCCATTTAAATAAAAATTTTGTAGTTTCAAAGTACACGTCACTTATTATTTTATAATATGCTTCATAGTGAGCTATTTTTCGTCAAAAATCTCGGAAAGAAAGATAATTATTTTATAAAATAAAAAGGTCATGTTTCAGCATCTGAAGCATTTTTGACCGAAAAAAATCTTTGCCACTACGTACCAAACGTACCAAAGTCCACAAGTAGTTCGCACGATGTTGGGTGGTACATGTGAAAGTGGAAAACTCGAGGGTGCGTAGTAGCTAACACACCCAGTGTTAGCCGACGATTGGCAGGCGCCACTTCTCCAAGCGTCTCAATTCCTCACGAAAAAATCGGGCAGTGTAGTTAAAATTTTTTTTTTTTAAGCTTACCTGATAATAATTAACATGCGTTTACACGAAAAAATTAAATAAATCAGTTTATAATTACTTAAAGTCCGGATAACTGTATTCTGTGCCGGGTAATATGATTTCTATGCAGTCCAATGACACTTACGAACTCAATGCTATAACTCGCAGTGAGGTATAGTAAATTTGTTAATCTAATATTATTGCAAACCTCAATTTAAACATAAAGTCTTCTGTTGAAGTGAACTTTAAAACCATCGATTTCGATAGTCATGTTATTTCGAATAAAACGTCTTTATAACGAGCTACAAAAATACATTATTTTGATTACAATTTATTAATGTTGCTGCAATTGTTCATCAATACATTATATGTGAAATATCCTTTTCTTTTCTAAGTTTTTCGTCTTTTAATTTATACAATAAATATGTACCAATTTTTTTGAAGTACCAATTTTTTTTCGAACATCATCATCAGTAGTGAGTACTCATTAGGTATCAAAATAATGATGGGTTCGGTGAGTTATGAATGGAGGTACGCTTTCAAGGGCCGACGTAATTTGATTAGTTAATAAACACGCAGTTGCATCATTCTTAATTAAATAGACGAAGTTAGTGTCCGTGCCGAGAAACTACTGTGTGACATTTTTTTCCTTTTTTGATTCCAGACGTGCCTTTTTCACTTTTTCAAAATGTAAAATAAAATATATNATATATATATATACATAATCCACTTCGGCTCGTAAAATATTTTCAATAAAATATTTCACACGGTACTTATAAACAGTCGGTAAAAATATAGTTCAAAGCAATTTAAATTGATATTTTAAAATACGAAGGTTATGGCAATGGATGCGAGGCCAAAAGATCACTGCTACACGCCAAAGTCCAAAAGCCGTAACATTTTCGGCCGCAAAATGATGCTTTTATTCGGAAATTCAAAAAACAACGCGAGCAGAAAACGATCGATAAACCCAATCATTTTTCCGAAGCTACATTCTCTCAAGCGAACTTCGCCTCAGCTGTTTCGCCGACAATCTCCCGATGACAGCGACGTAAGTCGATATTTTTCTGTGTTTACCTTTTGTCTCGTAAAAAACTACTATGTTGTTCACTTACTTTTTCAAGCATCATAAAAAATGTAGAGATTTTCGCAAAAATTTTGATGAACATACACTATATATTTGATACAACCCATCTTTACATATGTTTGTAAAACAGGACCCAGAGTGCTTTCATCGTGCCATTGGTGGTATTTTGCTGTTGGCCCAATTTTTCGGCATCCTTCCGATATATTATGTCCGTGCGGATACTGTGGAAAAAATGTCATTCAGAAAATACACTCCACGCAATTTTTATGCTTACTTTGTATTCATTGGTGTATGCTTCATGACGGTCGTTTCAATTGTTCATATGATCACAACACTCGGCACTATTAGCTTCCAAACTAGAGGTTGGTATTCTTTAATTTTCATCACTGTATTTTCTTTCTCTTGCAAATTAATACAATTAATCGACACTGGAAAATGCTTTAATTTATAGACAATGTGTTTTAAAAATAAAAATTAAAATTAAAACTTATCGACGTGCACGTTATAAAAATGTTCCATGAGTAAAGTATATTTTTTTATCATCGAGTAAGTATGTAAACGTACAAAGTTTCATGTCATGAGCTATAAATTGACTTTTCCAAGCACTCGCGCAAAAGTGCATTTGCGTTAAGATGTTTACCGTGTCGTCCAAGGTAACTGGCGGGCTGCATTAAGTTTGCGAATCGCGAGATACAACTCGCAGGATGCTATTTCGGATTCAATATACAAAATTGCGTGCGCCTAGAATACGTGTAACAATGTTTTGATTCACGGGTATTTCAACACATTGATCGAATTTTCGGGAATACGTTTATTTATTTATTCGAACTATTGAATTTCTCAAAACGAACGGAGAAGAGAAAATAACTGGCTTGTTATTTTATTATATCAAAGTTGGATATTATTTTAAATTAGAAATATGTTCAAGACAAAACTTACCTATCCGGACAAACTAATGATTATTTAAAAATGCCATCATGACTCGTACAGTCTACTCTACTACCAAAGAATGAGTTTTTGAAAACGGAAAAATAATTTTTCCGCCCTCGGGTGGTTTTGGGAGGCTGATACTTCCTCGGGCAAAAAAGCAGTTTTCCGATACTCGTTCGAAAAGTCTCCTTTACGAACCTCGTTACGGACCTCGCCTTCGGCTCGGGCCGCAAACCTCTCGGTTCGCAAACAAAGACTTTTCAAACTCGTAGGAAAACTACCATTACACATTTTTTTTATTGATGTTTTATGATTTTTTTTTTTTCTTATCATCAAATTATTTAAATATTACGTCAGTGCTACGTACTGTTTGTGCCTGTTCGAAGGGCCAAATTTTCATTTTTATTTTTTTGTATATTTTTATCTTACATTTTCAGGAGGTATAGCGGATGCCACTGTTGGTGCAATTTTTTACGGTAATAGCCTACTGGGTAATATATTGTTTTTAAGGCTCTGTCCTCGATGGATAACAATGCAATACGATTGGAGAGCTATGGAACGAGTTATCGATAGGCAAGATTAATTTTTTTTTTATTTTTTGAAAATTCTGTCACCTTTTACAAGAGTTTCAATCATCCAAAATTTTGATTTTTGCAAGGGAAACTAATTTTTTTTATCAAACTCAAATATTCTAATTTTGAGCATTTACCTTGAAAGTGAAATAACTAATTTTTCCAAACTGAGGTAATTTGTTTGTGTTGTCAAATTTAAGAGTTGTCAAAAAAATTATGGTCTTTCGTCACATATTACGCAATTAAAAAGATTGTAAGATATTTCACGTTACTCTCTATCATGCACATAAAATTTTTTGTCTTTTTGTTTAATACTTAAAAAATGTTTGTCTCGAAATAGGGTATAAACTTTAACTAGCAAAATTAAGCTATAGCCCACAGCATTAAATAAAACAAATGGTTAGAAGTGGTTAAAATATTACATAATTTATAAAAATTATCGAAGAAATTTAGAGAATAGGAGCTAGATGTACTGCTTGATTTGAGGGGTGAAGGCAAAATTAAAATGAAAATAAAAAAATTGAATTCTTATGATTATTAAATTAATATTAAAAAATTTTGAGAAATAGTGTTTTTTTAATACTTTTATGATAGGCTAAAATATACGAAGCATAGTTCTAGTAGCATATGTAGAAAAATTTTTATTTTTTTTATTTTTTAACTTCTATACTGCATGCGTAAGCATCTACTTTAGGTCAAAAACCACATTTTAGTGAGTAAAATCAAAGAAAAATTTAAAAAGTTTTATTCGACTGAAGGTTATCATCTCATGGAGACGACATATTGATATACACTGTAGAAAATAATCTTAAAAAATTTTTGAATTTATTCTATGCATTGCCATAACGTACTAATCATAACATTATCATACTGATGACTTATAATTGAAAAATTCAAAGCGTCACCTAACGATAAAATACAATTTTCGCAACGAAATTCTTATGCCTCATCATGCAAGCAACACTGCTGTCACCAATACATCATTGCATGAGCAAATTTTCTATTCAACATACTTTTTCCAAGAACAACGTTTGAAACATCGTCAAAACAACATAAGCAGTCAATTAACGACTTAAAATCACGATGCGCTTGATAAAAGTAATTCGAAGTACGTAAACACGTCGATACCGAAGCTCAGCGAAATGTACTGCTAACTAGATCATCATCCACATACTATGCCGCACGCAACGCCCAACTACATGCTCCCCTTTTATCCACCTATAATTTACTCGTGTCCATACATGTACGCGTGTGTGCTTGATCCGTCGCATCGCTTTAATTCATCATCACTTTGCGCTTGATAAAGGATCATGGCTCACCAGAAGGCCATCCCTCATAACGCGACAAATTTTTCCAATGACATTCTTGCAAGAAAGATGAACAAGCACTTTTTTTTGCTTGTCACACTCTCTTGCGATAATTTTTTTTTTTATTTTCCCTCACGTATGTGTACAGAGGAAAGTGGTCGAGGCCGAGGCTTCGGGCGAGGTTCAAGATAATTGCCGGGGCGATCCTGGGCCTGGCTCTCCTCGAGCACGTGCTCAGTGTGATCAACAATACCCCCAACGAATTATGGGGTGGCAATCACACGTTCGAGGATTGGTTGGACGTCTACACTAACCGGTCGCACGCCTTTATTTTGAAACACGGTACGATTTTATTTTGGATTACCGATCGTCCCCCAAAGGTGACTCGCGATAAATATTTCCAACCTTCCTTCCAGTCGACTACAATTTCACGTTCGGGCTGTTCATCCTGTTCGTCAGCAGGGTGGCTACCTTCACGTGGAACTTTACCGATTTGTTCGTCATTCTGGTGAGAGATCCAATCATGATTTTTTTTTTCCTCGACTTCGTGTATATCTATTTCAATTAGGTGGCCACGGGTATAGCGGACAGATACAAGCACTTGAACAAACGCATCATGCGAGCGACGCCGCGAGAGCTGACCTTCATGGATTGGCACGAGATACGCGAGTGTTACGCGGTGCTCAGTGCCCTGGTGAAGAAAGTCGACAGCGAAATTTCCGGGATCGTACTTTTGTCCTTCATCAACAACATCTACTTCATTTGCTTGCAGCTTATGAACGGACTCACGTTAGTATATTATATGCTAATGGTTCACTTGAAAATGGGGGGGGGGTGTGTATGTATTTTTGGGGGTAAGTTTGATTTTTTGTTTTTTTACAGTCCCAGTGAATCGGAGCATTCGATCGTGAATTCCTTGTATTTTTTCGGGTCGTTCTTCTTTTTGATCGGCCGCTCGGTATGCGTTACGTTGATGACTGCGCGCATCAATGACGAGTGCAAAATTATACTACCCGTCCTCTACAATTGTCCGTCGGTCAACTACAGCTTGGAGGTAAATATTATACTTTTGGTTTAGATTTAGTTGGCAATAGGTTTTTTTTTTTTTTTTTTTCGTACAGGCCCAAAGGTTGCAGCATCAAATTGCATCCGATGACATAGCTCTGACCGGTCATCGATTTTTTTCTATTACTCGGAATTTCATGCTTGCCGTAAGTCTTTATAGCTGAAGATAATCGAAGTTTGTTACAGCTTATTTTTTCGTAGGTTGCTGGTGCTATTGTCACGTACGAGATCGTGTTATTGCAGTTTAACATTGCGATGCAGTGAATTTAAAAATTAAAAATATGATTAGGGACAAAGAGAGGAATGGGATTCAAGACCCATAGTCAAGTATTTTTAGAGTTGTACATGTACATAATTTTCATTACTTTTTTTCAGTGTTTGATCAAACTTGCATTGAAAATTACACTATAATTGAGTAAATTATTAGAGTACGGTAATGTGAAAAAGATTTTCTGTGATACCTGCAAACGTTACGGATAACGAAGATAATTAATATACGTAATATATTTAGATTGACCAATACTTGAGCATTTCTATCAAAACGTGTCTCCTGATGGATTGTAAAAATTTTTTTTTCTTCAATACTGTGTACATCAAATCGGAAAATCAAAGCTTATCAATAGAAGGTTCTTCTGACTGATAATCGAAAATATTAACATTATCGTAATTTTCTTGTGCTTATTGGATCATAAATCACATTATCATAGTTTAAAACTATATGGTCTAATTGGCGAAAAATAAAAATATTATTGAAGGTGCTACATAAAAACGTAACTAGCAAAATAATTAATTTACCCTTGTTATGCAATAAAAATCACAAAGTATCATCACATGGTGTTTTTTCATATATTTTTACTGATTTTCATTGGACAGCTCCATTAAATAAATAACACAAAAATTACGCTTCATTTACAATAGTTACATTGAAATCATGGGAATTCAAACTACAAAAGCCTGGAGAATGGAAAAAAATTGATGACGTCAAACTTGTAACCGAGATGAATATTGAAATCAAGCAATTGTAAGCAATTTTTTTCATGTTATCTCAATGCAGCACGTGTACTCTCGATTACTGAGTTGATGCAGATGTAACCTTGACATTTGCAAGTTGACGAGTAAATTGGGTAGTCAGTTACTTGACTACTGTGACTTGCAAATTGATGTATTGATAATAAAATACTCAGGCAAATCTTTTCTCGGTCATCAATTTAGTTTACACTTGCACGTACACGTAAAATTGACGGAATGTTTTACAATTTTATATTCATCATCTTAAAGTATACACATCCAATAACGTAGAAAATCAGAAACTAAATTCGATTGAGTAATGGAGAAGTGCACAATAAAAAACAAAAGGTTAAGTGTGGGAGGAAAAAAATTTAGCAACTGTATATTGTATTTTAATGTATGTATACAGTCTTAATGTATTTTCGAAGAGAAATAACTCGTATCACAATATAATTTTTTTCACGGAGTTTTCCTAGTTATTTCATCAGATATATTCATCAATTATGTATCGAAGACGTTTTTTTTATTAACTACATTTTACGATTGATTAAATAGCTTTATTTAATATGAATATTATAAAAATAAGTGTTAAGAAAACCACAGAAGGTTTTATCAGTTAAATATGTAGTCTTCAGTTTATGATTATTTAAAATATGTTTGCTGTTTAACATTGAGAAATTTTGTGAGTTGATGATTTCTGTCATTCATATATCCTATTGGTATTTATAAACTATGTAAACTTGAACATTTTTAAACAAAGAGTATTATAAATTTAACTTTGTGTATGCAAACGCTTGTATTAGTTTATTTTCACACAAAGGATATTGCTAAGCAAAATTGTTAGCTCATGGCTAGAAATTTTGAAACATTTGAATAATAAAAACCCCATCAAAATACACTAGTAAAAGAAATTTATTAAATGCTGATTGAATTATTGTAAAATAAATATTTAACTTGATATTCACAACTTAAAATGTATCGAAAATCCATTACTATAGAGCGTTGCATTTTTTCTATAAATTTTTCCTACGAGTACCTATACTTACTAGTTTGTATAATCAGCTAATTCCAGTAAAACGTAAAACATTGTTGGAACATAGAACGCGAGAACGTTTGAGTTTTCGCGCACTTGTTTCCGAGGCAATGCTACCAACGTTCTCTTTGAGGTAAGCGATATAGGAAATTTTGATGCGCTTCGATCCAGAGAGAAATACTGATTAACTGTGCGATAGTGATTTCCGAAGTAATTACGAGCAAAAGTGCTCGAAACTTTTCCTGCACAGCAATAAAAGAGAAAAAAAAAAAAAAAAAAACAAAAGCTCGAAGCGTTATGAGATAAGGAACACACACTTCGATGACACTCCTGCCAGCTTAAACTTTCACTTCAGTCGCATTCGTGCGTTGGCTCGGTGAGAACCTCCGTCAGCTCCCCCATATCTCGCTCTTATTTCATAACACACATCCTACCCTTCTCTTTTTTTCCCCATCTCTTTTCCTCTCCGGCGGTCAATCGAGGGCTTACTCAACCGAGTCGACCGAAAGACTTTCGATCTCTCCTCGCTCCACTTTCGTAAAACTGCCTGCACCGAGCGGTCAGCCACGCACCTTCACAATAATACCTACGCAAGCTTAAGTATATATGCACCTTTGCACATCGAATACAAGCAAATGTAAATTGTTCTCGCGACTCTTTGACCTCTCCGTTTTTTTCTTTTCGTGCATCATATTTGCCATTGTAATCTTCGAATCGGCCACAAAGGTGAGTGATTTGTGAGGTGTCTCGGGGAAAAAGAAAAAAAAAAAAAAATCACCGAAGAAGTGTGTGGAATTTATTTTTACTTTTACAGTAAAACGAAAAATGCCGTGCCCGTTCTTGTCTCGTCTCTCGGCCAACGTCGTTCGTAATTATGGGGCCTCGGTTGTCATGAATTACCGACAACACTGCCCGGTAATGTCGAGGCTGTCGAGCACTCTGAGCGAACCTCAACAGCTGGAGCTCGTGGAAGCTGCCGCAGCTGCAATCGAGTCCTCGAAAGCTTCGCTTCCTGATCCTAGTGCGAGCAAGTGTCCTTTCCTGTCCAAGGAACGCGAGGCTATTAAGGAGGCGAGTCTGGCTGTAAAGGAGGACGTCATCGATTTGGCCCAGAGTCCCCAAGAGAAGGAAAAAATCTTTCCCTACGAGGAGTTTTTCGATCAACAAATTTTACGCAAGAAAAAAGACCACTCGTACAGGTATAACGTCTAACCTTGAATTTTAAACGAGTTTTTTTTTTCCTCTTATGCATGGTTCCGTCATTCGTCGTCTGCTGTTATTTAAATTCCAAAGGCGTACTCACTTTGGAGAATTTAAATAGCTGCATTCATCGAGCTCAATCACATGAAGTAGCCGTGTAGTGGGATTGAGCAATTTTCCAGCTTGTGCAACATTCGTTATGGTTTATATAAAATGTAGCAAATACAAGTCAAAGTATTCCTTTCTCGAAAAATTTGGCTTTTTTGTATCTAAGGTGCTGAAAAGCCCTTTTATTTTTGACTTCATTATTCATCACGAGAAACGTTACAATTTTATAATGCAATACAAAAAGTTGAAGATAATCATATCGCTTTGTCGTTGTACTGAAACTGAAAGAAATTAACTGAAAATAAGGATGTTTCTAGAAGAAAACGCGATGTATTTTTTTTTCAATAATATGTTTTTTACAACAGTTGTTTGGTAAAAATACTTTTAAATTGATAAAAGTTGATATTACTGAGTCAATCACATACGAGAATGTAAATCTGAATGTTTCGATATCAGCGAGTTGAGTATGAATACATCATTTATTTATGAGCATTTACTAATGGCAGAATTAGTTTACTGCATTTTCGATAAAACCTTGTATTGACGTTAACTGAAATACAATTCATAAGTTCTATTCAATATACAAAAGTATTGATAGGTCGAATGCAATTTTTATTTTTTTTTTACGATAATACAAAAGTTGGATATTAATGCAAGATACAAAAATTTTCGTCCATATTTTTTCTGTAAAACTTTGCGTCTAAAAAATGTTTTTAAGTAAAAACTTTTTTTTGATTTGTGTTAAAAATACTGTCGAAAAAAAACCATATTGTAAAAAGCAGCTGTTATTAAAATAATAACAACATCGCCGTTTTTCAAAAACAAAATTTTATATACCAAAAAATTTTTTCCTACATTTCTACACTATCTTGTATTGAATCATATGAGTTTTAAAAAAAATCGTCATTGTGTAGTATTTTCTGAAAAAAAAAGAAAAAAAAATTAGATAACTCGTCTTTTTTAATCAATTAATTATATACTTAAGACACTAAATGTAATCCACGTAAAAAATGTGCTAAGACCCAAAAAAGATAACTTGTTATACATACTGGTGCATACGTTTGTAGTGAAATATTTTTGATAAGAACGGTATTTTTAACTGAGAACAAAAAAAATTCAATATTAACAGAAAAGAACTTTTCCGCCCTCGGGTGGTTTTGGAAGACTGGTACTTCCTCGGGCAAAAAAGCAGTTTTCCGGAACTCGTTCGAAAAGTCTCCTTTACGAACCTCGTTACGGACCTCGCCTTCGGCTCGGGCCGCAAACCTCTCGGTTCGCAAACAAAGACTTTTCAAACTCGTAGGAAAACTACTATTTTGGTTTACCCGAGAAGAACAAAACTTGAAAAAAAAAAAAGAAAAAATTTCACTAGAAATTCGTTATCTTTTTGTTCTTCGTTATCAACGAAACCCAGTAAAATACTTGTCTAGCAACGTTAACATTTATTATTAAAGTTGTATATAATTACTAATGGGAACAAAACCGTTATATAACATTTTATTAGTTATGACACAAGAATTAAATAATTAAAAAAAATACTGTTTTAAAACACGTTGACGTCGATTCAATTTCATAATCACTCGACAGCATAAAAATGCCGAATAAGCAGGCTATCCACTGAACAATGCCCAATTCAAATTGCTAACTGTTTCGCAGGGTTTTTAAAAAAGTCAACCGCTTAGCGCAAGAGTTTCCCGCTGCCTTAGAATATTCTTGGGGCGAAAAGCCCATCACAGTGTGGTGCTCAAATGATTATCTCGGCATGTCTCGGCACCCGGAAGTCACCGGTGCCGTTCGACAAGCACTGGACAAGTACGGAGCTGGTGCAGGTGGCACCAGAAATATATCCGGCAACTCAATGGGCCACGAGATTTTGGAAAAACGATTGGCCTCGTTGCATCAAAAAGAAGCTGGACTTCTTTTCACGTCTTGCTTTGTCGCCAATGACTCGACCTTGTTTACGCTGGCCAAGAGCCTTCCAGGCTGTCATATTTTCTCAGATGCTGGTAATCATGCCTCAATGATACAAGGAATCAGAAACAGCAGCGTACCAAAGCACATTTTCCGGCATAACGACGTTGCCCACTTGGAAGAGCTTTTGGCAAAAGTTGATAAAAACGTGCCGAAAATAGTAGCATTTGAAACAGTGCATTCGATGACTGGGGACATTTCTCCACACGAGCAGCTGTGCGACGTAGCTCACAAATATGGCGCGTTAACGTACGTTGATGAGGTGCACGCTGTCGGTCTCTACGGTCACCATGGAGCTGGCATTGGCGAAAGGGACTTGTGCTCGCACAAAATGGACATAATATCTGGTACTCTCGGAAAAGCTTTCGGTAATGTCGGAGGATATATCGTTGGCACAGCGAAATTGGTAGATATGGTAAGAAGTTACGCAGCAGGTTTCATATTCACGACATCCCTGCCGCCAACTGTTTTGTACGGAGCTTTAAGCTCAATTGAAATACTCGCTTCGGAGGAAGGTCGAGCTTTGAGAAAGACTCATCAAAAGACGGTTGCCTACATGAAATCTAATCTCAGTGCTGCCGGACTTCCCATTATTCCGTCGCCTTCGCACATCATCCCGATAAAAGTAAGCACATCTTATCCTAATTGTTGGTAGTCTGGAAAATATTGAATCAGCTAATAAATTGATTTTTTTTTTTTGTTTTTGTTTTTTTTAGATAGGAGATCCGCTTTTGTGTAATCAAATTGCCGACACGATGTTGAAAGAAAAGGGCCATTATGTTCAAGCAATAAATTATCCTACTGTGGCAAAAGGCGAGGAAAGACTTCGAATAGCTCCTACTCCAAAACATTCAGAAGAAATGGTTGACGAATTTGTAAAGGATGCGTTAGAAGTTTTTGACCGTTTGGATGTTCCAATGGATAAAGTCGAAAAACCGATTGAAATGCTGTCAAGACCAATTTTGGTGTATTGACATAATTTGTAATAAATGTTGTTTTTATATATTATAAATTATAACATAATAACGAAATCTTTACATTCGTACTGTTATCATTAGGTTGAGGAATCTTATGATTCGGACTTGAGGTAAAAATTTATTTTAATATGTAAAATGATATTAANAAAACATTAAAAAAATATACATTTGTTGAACTTTAAAAAAAATTAAAGATTTATTTAAATGATATAGTACAACAAAATAATCTAAATATGATTTACCTTATACTTACTTGAAAGAATTTAGTAGTTGTACACAAATAAAATAAATGTTTGTAAAAAAGAATAGCAGTATAAGTCCAGAGATATGAGAATCAATTAATCGTGTCATTTCTGCTAAGCAACTAAAATCATCTCTAATTTCAGTCCACCAGGATTCTGGCATCACCTGAAATTGTTCAGTAAATATTTAATAAATACTTACAATTATTAAAATTAATCAAATACTATATATTTTGAAGGGTATAACTTTTTTCTATAGTATCTAAAATATAAAAGAAAATTTCTTACTTATTCTATCGGCAACAATGGAACCAATGATGAGTTGTTTGACACTGAGTAAAAATAGAGTAATTGAACCAGTCAATACCAGGCAACTGTACAAGAATTTGAAATTCTTCCATGAAAACCTAAAAATCATCTACTAAGTTTATGAAATTAAAAAAAAATAAACTGATATGTAAACAAACGCAAGTTTTCCGAATGAAAAAAGACAACTATTTTTTAACTTTAAGTCGCTAGCAGTGAGTGCGAGAACACCATTAACCGGTAAAAGACCAAAACATTGAGCCAAAATTAAAATTGGTCCAAAAACTAGATGAATTCTTCCTCTATCGTTTTCTTTTTTCAGGCCAGATTCGAAGATCCTTGATCTTGACACTAAAATGATATACAAATTTTTTTCTTATCTTTTATAAATTAAATATACGAGTATTAAATTGTTTATGATAATAATTTCACTAGTTACCTTTGTCTTAATAGAAACACGATTTGTTTAAAATGTTAAAATTTTTCAACAAAATAACTTAACTCCCATGTGGTATAATAAATTTATTCAGCACTCTATTTTACGCTATGTTGTAATTATAATTATTATAATCGTAAAGAAATATTTTTCATGTCTAGTGTTGAAAATTACTGAAATTAACACGAACTATTTCTAACGTCACTTTTCTGTAAAATATTGTAATTGATACAATTTTGGTGCTCGTTTGATTCAGCGAGTTGTACATAATTTCGCGCAGTGGTATGCTCCGTACTTTGTACGGTTCTCGATAACGCTCTCATATATCCTTAAAAAATATTAAAGAATTTGCTAAATCAAATACGTTACAGAATTTACTTTTATTAATATTATTTTAACGAGAATGCACACACATGAATGTCTTACCACAATTGACGATTATATTTCCATTTTTCTAGTTGGGAAATACGGTGATTTACTGAACAAATATTAACATCAGGACAACGTGGTCAATCATCGTGTATTGAGTTGAATTGCACAAGAACGATTTCGTAGGTGACTATTGTGCTCACTATCTGCAAAGTTTATAACTTCTTATACTACCGTCATATTTATTATCATAAGGTATCTCGATATAGTCAAGTTTTATTTTATCATTGATAAAGTTAGTAGTATAAATTGTCAATATATAGATACCACTGCAAATATTGGAATTTATTATTAATTATTTATTACTGGATTTAAATTTCAGGCCTAATTTAAACGTTGAATATGAAAACCAAGTGGTAAATGGCGTTGTGAGCATTTTCTCACTATTTTCAAAATTTGACACATTTAGCGAAATTACAGAGAAAAAAGTGGTTTCGGTAATAAAAAATATATCCTGATGTCCTTGCTATCTAATTGTTATACTTATTTAATAGTTTATTACACCCGGTTTGACTTTATTTTAAAAAATATAATAAATGAAATAACTTCTAATGTACTTACTTTTAATATAAGACTTCTTGTTACCGAAAAAAAATGCATTCC